TCGCTTCGGCCACTAGCAGCGTCGTTTCGATGTAGATTACTGAAACGAGCTTGGCGGCCTGTGCTCGTCACCATCCCCGAGTAGGCGTTCTCAATTTTCTGTGGATGCACGGATAATTCCAAAATTTTAATTATTTTTTTCTTTTTTGGTTCTTGAAAATATTAATTTTTGCTACTCTCGGAGTGTAATTTTAGATTAGAAATATAAATAAATAAAATAACTAATGGGATTATAATATTATTTTGGCGCCGTTTGTTGCTTACGTGCGCCGGGTGTCGCTAGCGCACTGATCACGACGTAACGGGCCTTAGAGTTAGAGCATCTGTAACGGCCTTTGCTTTGCGACGAAACTGACCACAGAACGTGAGAGCAGCAGCGGCGTATTTTATCAGCTAGATTCGGATGTACGTTTAGATCTTATTATTAAAAGCATGGTGGGTTGTGGGATTTTCTGTAGGAACAACAGTCTTTCTTAATTCCAGACGAAAAAAAAAAGCAATCTTTCTTCATATTTTTTAAATGTGCTGATTAAACCTAACAAAAGTAAATGAACGTGTTAGTTAAATGAAATTTGACGGTGGGTGGGGTTGGGTCATTGAAGATGATGGGGACAAAGTTCGGCAAAAATGGATACGAATATTGTGCATTAATCTCGGGTAGAGGGTTTGCACACAAATATTTATTGAGTGTTTAAAAGTTTTGAACCATGTGAATAGAGGTGGAAGAACGCAACCAATTGAGTTATAACCCACTAACATTATGCAAGTGAAAGAACTCGATCAATTGAGTTATAAGTCACTGTCATTATATATCAAAACTTTATACCAAGGGAACGGGACCCAACACTACACTAGTGGGCTATTATAGAAGCTATTGAGCATAATAATGCACGGCTTACTCTTTCTTGGTTGTGCTTCAAATCCTTTCACGCTTACGAAATCTGTAATCATGATGTACAACACAAATACACAATCTAACCATATTTTTATTTTGTTTGGATCTCAAACAGAAAGATCTAGATTTTATGATTTTTTTTGGGTTCGAAATCTAGATTTTATGATGAACTGATTTGTTTGGATTCAAGACCATATGTTTGAGCAATGACCATTGTTTTTTAAAGTACCTTTTTTTCTTGGGCTTGATGGAGTGATATTAATAGATTTGTTTTTGGCTGATCTTCTTGTTGGATTACATACTAATTCAGTATTGCGCATGCCATCTTGAGAATAATTTCACTAATGAGCTTGACCTTCTAACATTAAACTTGGATGCAAAGCAAGCCAATGTAAAAATAGAAAGAAAAAAAAATTGAAGTGATGGGCACTATTGCTTCAATGTATATGACACTTGTATAATGGTGAAAAACTAAAGACTTGGTAAGTGGATTATCAAATAAATAATGTAGAAATGTCCTTTGGATTATTGCTTCAAAGTTATATTTTGTATAACTTCGGATTATATATAAATACCACTTCTCTTTTATTTTGTTCAAAGGACGCCTAAGGCCTTAAAAATTTCGGAGGCACAAGGTTTAAAGGCTAGGTAATGAGGGTGAATTCGTTTTGATTCAAATTCATATGAACGTATATTTCAGTGGTGACCAACTTTTTTTAGTATAAGTTTATTCTATTTTCTTGGCTTGAACTTATAGAATATGAAATAGCAAAATTGCCCAATTGTAAGATAAAATAGAACTAGCACTTATGCTATGCATGTGTTGGATATGTTACAAAATATAATTTAAACTCATTGAGAAAAAATAGGGTGGATGTGGGAGAAAAGGGAAATGGGGCTTACTATATCTTATAATTTTCGTACCACCCTTAACTTCTATAGTTTTTTATAGTAAAAATGATAATCAAACTAAAGGGGGAGGGAACTTTTCGCACACATACTATTACCAAGGCTCCATAGGGGTAAAACATTAATAAAAAACATAGCGCCCCCCTTTTTCTTCTCAGGGCAGCACGGCTCCATTGGGGGAGGAGGACTGTCCCTCTTCTCCCCCCCCCCCCCCCCCCTTCTCTTTTGTTTCTGCCAGCTCTCAACCTCCCCTGCCTTGGATTTCTTTTGTGGGGCTGGTCTTATTTTGTGTTTGAGCCTGTTTGGCTGTGTTGGTGGTTGTCTCTGAGAGTTGGTTGCTTCTCCTGGTGACTGCTTGAGCCTTGTGCTCTAGGTTGAGATTCAAGCCAATTTTGTGTCCTCCTTTCTTGGCCAAACACCCCCTTCAACTAGATTTACTTCTCCCTCAACATCCCTTCTCTTACTCTTGCTTTCTCCTTCTTCCGGATATGGTTTCTCCATTGGGATACAACAACTACTTCTTTAAGCACTTTGTCGCATTTTATCAAATTGTATATAGAGCTCTTGCTGCCGTTCTAGCTCTGGTGCTTGCACCAATACTCTCCATTCCCTTGATTTCGATCCATTGGTATATACCATGGTGTTGTTGTGATTGGTTGCTGTTTTCTTCTTGGTGCACAAGCGAACTTGAGTGTAAAGCAAAAAGTGACTCTTGGAGGAATGTTCTTGTGCTGATGTGTTTATGTTTTTCAGGGAAATTTTGTTCTTGATATAAGATCGGTGGGTCTTTATGTGTAGCTATGCTAACCTATGCAGAGGATGTGAATCCACTCCTTTGTGGCCATATTGGTGTGGTCTTCGATCCCATTGCTGCAACGGTGGCTTTGTTTTGATTTTGTGTAGGAAAGATTTGTTATACTAGACTGTATTGGTTTTTAGTGTAATTTTTCATGTGCTTGTGGTACTTTATTTATGCATTTGGCATTTTTGGCCCTTGTTTTCTATGTTTGTTTCCTTCCTATTTTTGGGGTTTTAATGAACATTGATTGACACCCCCCCCCCCCAAAAAAAGGGTTCTTCAAAAGCCTTGCCCACCCTCCACCC